GGCGTGGGGCGGAGGCTGCTCCGGTGCGGCGGGCGGCGAGCGGCGGCGCGTCGGCGGGAAGGCGGCGGATGGCGGCGGGCGCGGGCGCGGCCCCGTGGAGGAGGAGGGCGCGGGCGGCGCGGCGATGGGTCGGGGAGGGCCGGCTACGGGCCCGTGCGGGCTCCAGCAACGGTGGGAGGCGGCGGCCACATGGCACGCCCGGAGTGGCTGCGGGTGGGCGACGCGCAGGTCGGACATGTCCGATCCGGCGTGGACGGTGTCCGCGACGCGAGGAGGAGCGGATTTAGGGTTTTGCCCGGGATTTGGAATGTGGGGATCTATATATAGGGGTAGAGGGAGCTAGGAGAGTCCAAATGAGGTGCGGTTTTCGGCCACGCGATCATGATCGAACGCTCTAGATGATGGAGCAGAGTTAGGTGGGTTTTGGGACAAAATGGAGGGGTGTTGGGCTGCAACACACACGAGGCCTTTTTGGTCCCTCGGTTAATCGTTGGAGTATCAAACGAAGTCCAAATGATACGAAACTTGACAGGCGGTCTACCGGTAGTAAACCAAGGCCGCTTGGCAAGTCTCGGTCCAATTCGGAAATGTTTAATCCCCACACATGAAAGAAAGGTAGAAATGACCACCGGAGGAGAACGAAGCGCCGGATTGCAAAACGGACAACGGGAAAAATGCTCGAATGCATGAGATGAACACGTATGCAAATGCAATGCACATGATGACATAATATGAGATGCATGACAACGACAACAACACACGAAGACAAAAACCCGAACCCGAGGAAATAAATATAACTTAACGCCGGAAACGGCAAGAGTTGGAGTACAAATAGGGAAAGTTACATCCGGGGTGTTACATGTCCGTATTTTATTTTTATCAACACCTCTATCTCTAAACATGTGGACATATTTTTCGATTTCGGCTTTCGCTTGGGGGAGTTGACACGTCCATTTTGCATCATGCTTTTATACCGATATTTATTGCATTATGGGTTGTTATTACACATTATGTCACAATACTTATGCCTATTCTCTCTTATTTTACAAGGTTTACATAAAGAGGGAGAATGCCGGCAGCTGGGATTCTGGGATGGAAAAGGAGCAAATATTAGAGACCTATTCTGCACAGCTCCAAAAGTCCTAAAACTTCACGGAAGTCATTTTCAGAATATATAAAAAATACTGAGCGCAAGAAGTTCACCAGGGGGTCCACACCCTGCCCACGAGGGTGGGGCGTGCGCCCTACCCCCTGGGTGCACCCCCTACCTCGTGGGCCCCCTGGTGTCCCTCTGATGGCCATCTTCTGCTATATGGAGTCTTTCGATGAGGAAAAATCATAAGCCATCTTTCCGGATGAGACTCCGTCGCCACGAGGCGGAACCTTGGCGTAACCAATCTAGGGCTCCGGTGGAGCTGTTCTGCCGGGGATACTTCCCTACGGGAGGGGTAATTCATCGCCATCATCATCACCAACGCTCCTCTCATCGGGAGAGGGAAACCTCGATCAACATCTTCACTAGCACCATCTCCTCTCAAAACCCTAGTTCATCTCTTGTATCCAATTCTTGTCTCCAAGTCCGGGATTGGTACCTGTGGGTTGCTAGTAGTGTTGATTACTCATTGTAGTTGATGGTAGTTGGTTTATTTGGTGGAATATCATATGTTCAGATCCTATATGCATATTAATACCCCTCTGATTATGAACATGAATATGCTTTGTGAGTAGTTACGTTTGTTCCTGAGGACATGGGAGAAGTCTGGCTATTAGTGGTCATGTGAATTGGGTATTTGTTCGATATTTTGATGAGATGTATGTTGTCTCTCATCTAGTGGTGTTGTGTGAACGTCGACTACAGGACACTTCGCCATTATTTGGGCCCAGAGGAAGGCATTGGGAAGTAATAAGTAGATGATGGGTTGCTAGAGTGACATAGGCTTAAACCCTAGTTTATGCATTGCTTCGTAAGGGGCTGATTTGGATCCATATGTTTCATGCTATGGTTAGGTTTACCTTAATACTTTTGTTGTAGTTGTGGATGCTTGCAATAGAGGTTAATCATAAGTGGGATGCTTGTCCAAGTAAGGACAGTACCCAAGCACCGGTCCATCCACATACCAAATTATCAAAGTACCGAACGCGAATCATATGAACATGATGAAAACTAGGTTGACGATATTCCCATGTGTCATTGGGAGCACTTTTCTCTATATAAGAGTTTGTCTAGGCTTGTCCTTTTCTACAAAAAGGATTGGGCCACCATGCTGCACTCTATTTACTTTTGTTACTTGTTACACGTTACAAATTATCCTATCACAAAACTATCTGTTACCTATTATTTCAGTGCTTGCAGAGAATACCTTGCTGAAAACCGCTTATCATTTCCTTCTGCTCCTCGTTGGGTTCGACGCACTTACTTATCAAAAGGACAACGATAGATCCCCTATACTTGTGGGTCATCAACTATTTAATCTTATGGGTAGGAAAAGGTAGTGAGGTAGAGCGGCATCAAGCACTAGCATATATGGTGGCTAACATATGCAAAAGAGAGCGAGAAGAGAAGCACCGCACGGTCATGAAACTAGAAATGATCAAGAAGTGATCCTGAAACTACTTACGTTCAAACATAACACAAAAACCGTGTTCACTGCCTAGACTCCGCCAAAAAGAGACCATCATGGCTACACACGCGGTTGATGCATTTTTAATTAAGTCAAGTGTCAAGTTCTCTACAACCGGACATTAACAAATTCCCACCTGCCACATAACCGCGGGCACGACTCTCGAAAGTTTATACCCTGCAGGGGTGTCCCAACTTAGCCCATCACAAGCTCTCACGGTCAACGAAGGATATTCCTTCTCCCAGGAAGACCCGATCAGACTCGTAATCCCGGTTAAAAGACATTTCGACAATGCTAAAACAAGACCAGCAAGACCACCCGGATGTGCCGACAAATCCCGACAGGAGCTGCACATATCTCGTTCTCAGGGCACACCGGATAAGCTAAGCGTACATGTACCAACATAACCCAAGTTGCCAAGGGAAGGTCCCGAACGGTGCTCTAGTTCGGACCAACACTTTGAGAAGCACTGGCCCGGGGGGTTAAAATAAAGATGACCCTCGGGTTGGCTGACCCAAGGGAAGGGTAATAGGTTGTTAGGCAAATGTAAAACCAAGGTTGGGCCTTGCTGGAGGAGTTCCCATAACACCCAACCGCGTAAGGAACACAAAATCAAGGAACATAAAACTGGTATGACAGAAACTAGGGTGGCAACAGTGGAACAAAACACCAGGCACAAGGCCGAGCCTTCCACCCTTTACCAAGTATATAGATGAATTAAAGTGAATAAGATATAATAATGATATCCCAACAAATGCATGTTCCAACATGGAACAAACTTCATCTTCACCTGTAACTAGCAACACTATAAGAGGGGCTGAGCAAAAGCGGTAACATGGCCAAACAACAGTTTTCTAGGAAAGGTGGGTTAGAGGCTTGACATGGCAATATGGGAGGCATGATATAGAAAGTGGTATGTAACGTGACATAGCGATAGAGCGAACAACTATCAAGTAAAGATAGAAGTGATTTCGAGGGTATGGTCATCTTGCCTGAGATCCCGCAGGAAGAATAACGAGTCCATGAAGAAGACAAATGGACGTAGTCAAACGGATCCTCACAACTCCGGAACGAAACCAAAGCTAGCGAGAGAAACAACCCGGAAAGAAGCAAACAACATAGTAAACAACCATCACATAAACATGACACGATGCACAACCAAGTATGATGCATATCCAGATTAATGAGGCATGGCATGGAAAAGTGCAACAAACAACACTACAAATTAAGTGGAGCACAATATGCAAGGAGTTGCATATTGATGAAACACCACACGACTTATTTAGTTCTCTCTCATTTAGGTACCCAACAATATTAAATGTTGTTAAGCATGGCAAGAGGTGAAGCATGAGTAAAATACACAGTTAGGCATTTTAAATGAGGACGGAAACAATAAACAACAATTCCGATAACCCCCACATGCATTTAGCAATTTAATGCAACAACAATTTTAAACATATTAAATGTTATTATCATGATGCGGATGACATGTTCAAGTTTATGCAATTTTTTGAAAATGTTGACATGAGCAGGTTAAGAGGCATTTGTCATCGTGGCGGAATCGAAAGGGGTGCCACGGCAATGAATCCAAAAATGATGCCATAGCAACATATCGGTTCCGGTAGCTCATGGAGATACCGGTGCAAAAGGAAAAATTAAGGGAGCGTGTCATGCCCGGATGGTGGGGTGATCCTGGATATCGGGTTCCCACGGATCGACGGCGTGGAAACGAGGAGGAACAACTAACGTTCACGGGCGGGTACAACATCCAAACATGCATCTCATACACTCATGCATTCTCCACGGGTCTTCGTCTCGGCGGTTATACCTTCGAAGTGTGCAAACGGGACGGTTCAGGTTCAGTGCAATGTAGAGCAAGTAGAAGTTCCCGGTACGGTCGTAGTGGAAGCAGTGGTACTATTGGTCCTCGTCGATGGTAGTGTTTCACGGCGATGGTAGTCATTCATGTTCTTAGTCGCATAATTTTCTGTATATGTTCGGGGTCACGGCGAGGAACTTGACGTCCACGAAGGCTTCGAGGGTCAATGATAGTGGTACTCGTGATGGTAGTGGAACTTGACATGGTATGGTCCACCGGTCTTCGTGATGGTAGTCGTACATGCTCCGATGGTCGGGGTGGCAGAGGTAATCACAACGATGGGGGAAGTAGTGGTACACATCTCGCGTTTGTGCTACATGGGTCATCGGCGACGATAGATGTACACGGCAAAAGTAGTGGCACTATGTGTCAATTGTCATGGTACTTGGGGTCTTCGGACTTGCCGGTCTCGGTTCTTGCGACGGTAGTGATTCCCGCATCAACGTAGAGTAGTTGTACTTGACGGTTCCACATCGATCGTAGTGGTCCACGTATCGTAGATGTCCGGGGTCAACATTAGTGGAACTTGGCGCACCCTAGTGCCATCGGCTTCTTGGCGTTTCGAAACGAAGACTGCAAGGGGCCTCGAGGTGGTGGTGGTGCATCTCTACACCCCACAGGAGGAAGAGCTTGGGCAAGAGGCGTCCATGGTGGCCAGAGCCGAGGTGGATGACGAAGCAGTGGTCCCGCGGTTGAAGACGAACGGCAATGGCACGGGTAACAAGGGAGGTCTGAGGGCGCGGTGGTGCTGAACTTGATGAATTCTGGCGAGGCCGGCAGGGGTGCAGCACAGGAGGGGCGGAAGTGAGCTTGCTGATGAGGTGGCCATGCATCAGCAGGGGCCGGCAGGAGGTGCAGCAGCAAGCACAACCGCAGCTACAGTGAGGCAGCGGCGCCATGGTGGGCTCGCGGTGGTGGCAGGGAAAGAGACGCACGGGGGAGGAGGTCGAGGCCAGTGGGAACGGGCGCGCAGGCCGATCCGGGCGGAGGCACACAGGTTCCCGTCGATGGCGTGGCCTTGAGATGACGGCGCCATGGGGATTGGTTCCCTGGACGGCACACAACGACGATAAAAGAAAGCATCAGCAGGGGGTTGCAGAGAGGCGAGGTGGAGGAGGAGCTGGTGGTGGTGGAGCTCTAGGGCGGCAGTTTGGTCGCGGGGTAGGAGGAGAGCGGGGTCGATGGAGAGAAAGGATTGGCCGCTAAGGGCATCGGGCGCGAGCGCTCCTCTCCTAGCGGCACAAACAGGGAGACAAGAATGAGGGGATCGATCGGGAAAGGTGGTTTGGGCGCCTAGGGTTAGAGCTGGTTGGGCCTTGGGCCTGAGGTGCAGATGGCCTAGGGATTAGGTGGGCAGGGCTATAGGAATACTAGGGAGAGAGAGATGGAGAGGGGCCACCCTGGAAAGCTGAATTGGGCTTTTATGTTTAAAAAATAAAACTTTGGAGAAAAGAAAGAGAGGGTTAGAAAAAGAACTAGACCAACAGGGATATTTTTCTTGGACCAAGAAAAATATGAAGGATTTAACAAAAATGGTTGGAAGAGGTTTTGGCAAACTAAATCCGCACTCATTTGAATTTAATTCAAATGGGTTTGGATAGAAAGTGGGTGAGGAAGGTCCAGAATTGGTGAGGTTTTAGAGGAGCCTCGATAAGAAGTGACAAGAATTGTTGGGAAAGTTTGAGGAAGAACTTGAGGTAGAATGGGCATGAGAATTAAATTGCAAGTATGTTAAGGTGAATACCAAAATAGTGGAATGTTTATTATAGCTCCCTAAACATATTGTGAGATATCTTATAAAGACAAATCACCATGTGAATTCCCTCGATTTAAATACATCAAGGATCTATGCATTTTATTTAGTTGAGTTTTAAAAAAAGAAATGGCATGATGACATGATGCAATGCACATGATGCAAAGATGAATGCAATGAACCAAACAAATCAGACGACGAATCTTGAAAAACAAGGAAGGCATCTGGAGCGCCGGTCTCGGGGCGTTACAACACTCCACCACTACAAGAGGATCTCGTCCCGAGATCTAGGATGGCACCAGAGCGAAGCGGAGGAGGAAGAGGTAAAATAAAGTTGCTTCTTTGGCAAATGAGTGAAACCAAAGAACCTCGCGAGGTTGAACAACTTGAAAGAAAGAATACAACAAAGAAGAACAAAGTTGAAAGCACTCAATTAGAAAAGAGGAACACGGAACATTACACGAACCTTGTGGGTTGAAATACATGAATGAAGAGCTCCCGTGACAAGGAAGGACATGTAACCACTCCGGTTGAAACGGAATAAGCAATGAAAAGAACATGATCTCCACAATTCGAGATGACGAGTGAAGAGAGCAACATCACAATGACTCCGGAAGAAAGAATATAAGATAGATCATTGAAATAAAAGAATGGAGAAGAAAATGCCAACTTCTGCCAGAAATGAGCTTGGAAAGCACCCTTCCGAGAAGTTTATAATGGACTTGTTGAAAAACCAACAACGAAACAAGTAAGCTTGGAGTGGGCTTATGGAGAACATATCAAAACTATGAGGTGAAATTTTTGCCACTAACGGAAACAATAGATTGGATTGATATCAGCAAGGGGACGAGCAACATATTTCACCGGGAGGATAAATGAAGAACTTGGGTCATTTATAAGCACCATAAATAGCAAAAATCCTTAGGGAAAGCTTTAGGTGAAATATAACCCAATCTAACTCGAATGATGAGACTGATTGGTTGAAAAGATGTCTTGAGCGAAGAGAAAATGATGGATTTAGAAATGTCACTCTTGAAAACTTGTGAATCATGAAACACGAAGGGAAATTATCAACAATGACATAACTCCACCTCAAAGATGAGATATGAAAGAATTGCACTTTGGAATGCAAGATGAATAATACTTGAACTCCTCAAAACTAAACAAGTGTTGAGCATCATGTTTATTTGGTGTATAGCTTAGCGAATCATAACTTCGAGAGAAATCTTGAAGAACAAAAGAAGAATGAAAAGAATCCTTGATGAGCCACCATGTTGATCCTCCATGAAGAAATCCGGTAATAAAAGAATAATCAAACAAAAGGGAAAGTTAAAAAGAACTCCGGGAAAGTATGAAGCACTTGAACCGAGAATGTGACATGAAGAACAACTCTGGAGAGAAGAAACTAGATCACTTGGATGAAGCAATAATAAGAATTACATTATGTGTATCCTTCACCAATTTAGATTGATGACAAGCAAAGGATTTGGCATACTACTTATTCTCGTAAAAAGGATTAAGATAGATATAGTGCAAGCTTGGGAAAAGTCTTCAACGAACCACCATTAGGATTTGAAAGAACGAGTGAATTGATATGAGAACATAGGAGGAGGAATCTTGAACAAACCACCATAAGAATTGAACATGAAAGTAGAGAAGGCACAATTCACCGGGAAGAATTAGAGAACGAATGAAGATACTTTAGGGGATTTAGATACATGTGAGCGAATGGATCACGAGCTGGTTAAAGAATACTTGAATGATGCGCCGGTAAGATTTGGGGAAAGAGAGCTGAAAGCTAGAATGAATAATTCTGAGATGATGGGCTATGGAGAATCAACCTGAAAGGACTCTTGAATTGCTCCGGATTGTTGAAAAGAATTCTCACAATCGAAAATAATTAAGAGAGGGTGGCAACAACACTACTAGGGAAAAGCCTACCAGCAGCGAGGGTTTTGGGCCTCTCAGTAGCGCGGGCACTGGCGCTACTAATAAGGCGCTACAGCTAACGTATAGCAGTAGCACCGGTTGTCCCACGCTACTGCTATACATGAATAGCTGTAGCGCTCTTTGGGAAAGGGTGCTACTGATATTATCTGCAGCGCTGTTTGCTGGGACGCGCTACTGACTATGCGGCGCTACTGCTAAATTTCCCCCCTCGCTACTACTAGTTTATTTATTAGTTTTTTTCCTGCATATTTGTTTTGTATTTTTTTGTATTTGAATAGGATTTATACAATAATATTTAGCATATCATACACATACAAATGTAATCATAGCATATACATACAATTAGTCTCATCAAATCATGTCATCATCATAATCATCATCCAACACAAAGTGGTCTCTCGTCATCATCTCGAAAATAGCGATACAAGTCTCGAATGATATGCAAATACATCGTCATCCATCTAAACAATGATATACGCGAGAAGAGCTATCACTTTGAGAACATGAGTTTGTATCCCTCTTTCGTATTAGCGTGAACCTCTAAACTAACTACTGCATGTCGCTCAGAAACTGGAAGGGCCTGACACTCCGGCCACTTGTCGTATATATACTCCTGGCATAACACTTCTTCGCCATCTATGATCTATGCACCTGCATCATCACATGAGTCGATGATATGCAACATATATAGTTGAGCAACAGAAAGAGACAGACTTGGCAAAAATAAAAACAACATATCATAAGCATAAATAACAAAGTTCATCATACCCCAAAATGCCCTAACTAGAGTGATTTTCGCTAGTCGAGGAGGAGGACGGTTTAATTACATCACAAATAAAGTTTCACCGTGCATAACTCAAAGTTTTGTCATACAGAAAGTATGGACTAAACGGACACATTGTCATATATCGACAATCACTCCAACATGTCGTTCCATCCATCCAAGTCAGGGAGATAGTCCCCGAGCCTAGTGAAAAGCTTCAGGTCGAGACGCTGAGAGGCTATCCATGTTCGGACGTCTTCCCGCGACATTTGTCCTTCTCCGTAGAACATCCCTATTTTTCCGACGACCTCCTTCATGATGATTTGGGCAAGTTCGCGCTGGATGTTATAGAACTCAGCTCGAAGTCGATGATCCTCGATATCTCCTATGTCCTTTGCCCATTGCAGAATATGGGCATCGCCGGATCTAGGTGACAAGCGAAGGTTCTGGTGATCCCGTCTATACTCCAGCATGTGGTGTAGGACATAGAATCCATCATTAAGAGAATCGTTCGGTTGCTGGATGCAGCAGAAGTCGGTCTTATGGCCGAAGGAGACCCTGCCGCCCCTTCTCTTCTTGTCCCTGACCTCTCCACCCCTTGCTTGGTAGTAAAACATAGCAATGTCGAGAACATCCTTGATGTGGGTGTAATCCTTTTTGTGAATGTTCTTCAACGAGTCCAAGTAAAGAGCGTGGGAGAATCGGGGGTAGAGGATGATGAGGATGGCGCGCCCGCCGCTGCGCAAAATAAGTCCTCAAATTAATTAGCCTCCACCGTGCAAATTTATGATTGAAATCGAAGGAAGGATAGCAGCGCGGATGACTTACACGGGATGATAAGGCATGAGAATCGCCTCCTTGTCCTTATTGGCGAGCATGAAATTGACGATGTAATCCCTGGTGTATTCACGGTGATTTGCGCAGACTCCCAAGAAGCCCTCGTGCATGTAGTACAGGTCAGCGACACAGATATGAGATATCTGCTCAACCCCGATGATGTTTTTCATGTGCAAGGCATAAAGGCGGACAAACATAAAATCTAGCTTCTTCACCTGAAACATGTCGAATATGTAATCGAATCGGAGGAAGAACTTATCCGCGGGGAAGCTGTCGACGTACGACATTTGCCGCGGAACGTTAACCACGTAGAGTGGGTATCCTGGATCTTTCGAGGCGATGAGGTCTTTCTCTACCCGTAGCACATCGTCATGAAGTCTCTTTAGATCGCCGAATCTGGCCCGTAGCGCTGTTGCAGGTAGGATTGGTTGACCGGGGATATGCCATTTATCCACACCGAGGATATCTATATGGTCCTGAAGTCGAGGCTGCTGAGGCGGCTGGATCATGGAAACAGCTTTTTTGCCTTTCCTCGCTCTCTTCCTAAACTTCTTTACTACCGGAAGGTCGTCCATAATATGTTGAGACGGCAATTC